AACGGGGAACGAAGACGAAACAAGACACCTTGTAATTTATGCTAATTACCTTCTAATATTAAAAAATTAAAATCTTCAATAAATTATAATCAAATTAAGGTTTTTTTTTTGGACTGAATTCGACTAGAAACATATTGAAAAACCGAATTAAAGTAAAAATACCGGTTTTTCGACGCTGAATTTTTATTAATTAATTTTTTAAATTGGTACCGGATTGACCTTCGGTGTGCAATTTCTATTTACTGATTTACGTATTCGAGACACGATATTTATCGCTTTAATCTCCTCCGTATACTCCGTATACAAGTAACTCCCAGAGGAGGATCGACAAGAACCTAAAGGGTTCTTCTCGATCCTCCGCTGGGAGTTACTTGTAAATGCTACAAAGTGTGGCACAGTATTCTATTACCCCAACTTTTGTAATTTCAATCTATATATTATCATTTCTTTTTCATTTTTTTCAAGATATTTTACTAATAAAGCAAATATGTTATGTTAACCTCTACAATCACTGCAATCTCCGTCAGTACCCACAGCAAAATAAAAAGTTCAATAATGCATAAATTACTCCACAAAAAGAAATTAACATCTGAAACTTGTCATTCATAATTGGTCAAAAGTAATCTGATATATCAAAAACTTTACATTGGTATCATTATGATATAATGTCATTGTACGGAATTGACTTTAACCTCAATTTACTTCATTCAGGTTATAACACTAATCCCGATTTAAGTAAGTTTTTTTTTAACATCGACACATATACTCATTCTTTTAATATAAAATAAAAAAACAAATAAATTTGACAATGAACTCAATAAAATTACAGTCGATCCCCCTATAACACTGTTGATAATTCCGTTTTATACGAATTCCATGTTATACGAGTCACTTAGATTTTACAAATACGTGTGCGATTGAAACGAAGATATCAAACACTACTAAAAAAAAAAAAACACAGAATTTAACAGAACAAAAAAAAAACACTTGATCAATTTAAAATTTTCGAATTTAAATTCAAATCCGCCAATCAAACTTTACGTCGAATTCGATTGGTCGACATTAAATTTAAAAAATGACAACAATTTTAAAAAAGTACAAACGACGTAAAATTTATTTTAACGAATCAAATTCTTTAAGTAATAATAATTATTAATTATAACAATTATTTTTCTTAAAAGAAATCGATTATAATTTTAAATCGAGAGCGTGACACGTGAAACGGAGTAGTGTGATGTAATCGACACGCACTACACCGATAACACAAGGCGACCTGCCTTGTTTCTGCTAGTGTGGGTTTGGTCGTTCGAGGGTGAAGATGGCTGCCCGTGAATTTGACATAGTTATTTTTGGTGCTACCGGCTTTACGGGTCAATACGTGTTCGAAGAATTAGCTCGACTGTCTAAAAGCGAAAACGTCAAATTTGCCTTAGCGGCCAGAAGCGAAAACAAGTTAAAATCTGTGATCGAAAAATCAAAAGAGTATCTGCAGTCTATTGGTATGTATGGAGACAAATCTTATCAATAATATATATATATTTTTTAACCTTTATTTCTCGTGTAGACGATAAAAGATTGGCATTAAGAAGGCGCGTTATCACGATGATTCATTGCATATTATACTAGTTACGCGTAATCTCAAATATTTCTACAATGTTAAATGCTACAAATAATATATAATGCGTTAATATTTAATATGATTCGTCCAGCAGAGGTTAAATATTTAACTGAAATCCTGTACCTAGAGTTTTAAAGATTTCCTGTATTAATTCTTGCCACATTTACATAGAAATAAGTCTGTAACCCTGTATTACATTTGTTATCTAAAGTAAATTTTATATTGATTAATGAAGATGTGGATTTTTATAAATTTTGATGATAATTTTTTACTGTAGTAGATGTGTATTAAAATAATATTGCGAGGACACTGTTTTGATTCCGTCGTTTACTTATTTGCGCGGTATTTAACGAAAAATACCGTAATAAATGTTAAAAGATTTAATGACGAGTTTGGCGAAGTTAAATAATTCAATTTAAGTCATTGGAGCTTTTTAATTTGCGTACTTGAATACCTTGAAGCTTCAAGGACTTCCAGTATGCATAAGGTCTTTTAATAGGAATTGAGGAAAAGAAAGCGCAAATCATATTATTTACAATTGTATTGTTACTCAGTTATATTTTTTATAGTATTTGCTATTAAAGAACTATTTTAAAATAATGAAATTATTCACATGAATCACATTTGTCTGATTACTCAAATTTTATATTTATAAATGTATAGATGATTATACGAGGGTGGATCAAATATAAACTGGATTTATTTTATGTTTTAAAATTATTTATTAAAAAGTAAAAAAACATTATGATTTATTTTTCTACATAGCTTCCTGCTATAGAAATATATTTTTTGCAGTGAGAAGGAAGGTTTCTTATTCCAGTATCGTAGAATGAAGTTGGTTGCGTCAGGAGCCAATTGCACAAGAATTCCTCTACTCCTGATCATCTTCGAATCGCTGCCCTCCTATAGCTTCTTTAAGCGGCCCAAACAAACAAAAATCGCAGGGCAATAGGTCCGGGCTGTAGGGAGGATGATCAAGTGTAGTCCAGTGCGTTTCGTTAAGTTTTGAGACTGTTAGAGCTGCAGTACGGTGCCTGGCATTGTCATGGAGGAGAATGGCATCTCAAATTGGTTGGTTTTGTCTCTTGCACCGATATGCAGCCTTAGCTTTATCCAACAGCTCGCAATAGTAAGCAGCATTGATTGTGCTTCGAATAATGCCTCGAACCGCTCGAATGTTTTCGCTTGTGATGCTGGTCTGAGGATGGTGATCGTGTTTCTGATTTTCCACTCGTGCCTGTCCTTCCTTGAACTTTTTATGCCAGGCAAACACAAGAGTCCTTGACAGTGTTTGATCCCCAAACTGTATTGTCAATCTGCAAAAAATTTCTGTCGCGTCGACTCCTTCATGAGCAAGAAATTGTATGATTATGCGTTGCGCAACAGAGGGGTGTACCTGTTGCTCCGACGTCGTGAGCACTACTGACAATTGGTTGAAAGTATGAAACGGCCGGCATTCCCCACTCCTAATGACCCTACCCAATCAGACTAGATGCACAGGCTCTGTACTGCCAACCTTAGTTGCTCAGGAACAAAAATCCCATTTATATTTGATTCACCCTTGTATAACACGATACAACTTAATTTGCCTTTAAATTTCAGTGTGCTGTTTAAAACTTAATCTTAGTTAATTAATCATTTATTATATTATTCTAAAAAAGATTATGCTTATATCGGAAGAATCTTTTATATATTTAAGTAAAATATTTCAAAATTATTTGTTTGTCAAACTTAAAAAAATTTATATACCTGTTTTGTTATTCTTTTCAACGTGATTTAATCTGTCCTTGAAATTTTTTTCTGGCTTATGTAATGAAGTCTTTGTAAGTATTTGAAGGAAGAAAATACATTTGTGATATTATTTTGTAGAAATTGTTTTCTAAATTGTTGTTTTTTTTTTTTTAATGAGTCTTTTGTATTAAATTAAACGTGCCTTCTTCCAGAATTCAAACATCTCATTAACTTATGAATAATGTAATCATTTAACATATCAGTTTATAATAATAAAAGAATAAAACTTATAAGAAAGTACTGTATTGCATTATTGTGATAAAGAGTAAGAAATTACATCTTTAATTATAAACTTTTATTCTTTCAGGTGAACCAATAAATGCAGATATACCTATTATCATTGCTGATGTTAGTGATGAAAATTCACTGTTAGAAATGTGTAAGAAGACCAAAGTACTTTTAAATTGTGCAGGACCAGTAAGTTTTAATCATTAATTAGTATAATTTAGAATAGCCTGGCAGAATAGATTGGTCCAAAGACTTGATTATCCTCTGCTTACCATGTAGAAACATTACCAGTTATAAAGTCTAGGTATCATAACTGGTAAAGCACATGCATGGTAAACATAGGATGTGGATTAAAGTCCTACTCTGAGCCTGTAAATTTTTTTCCACATATATATTAAAAATTAATAATTATTTAACTAAATCAAGCTGCCATACAAAGGTAATAAACACTCAAATAAACAGTTTGAAAAAACTTGAGTATGTTTATTATTTAATTAATAATTTGAAATACAAATCTACTTATATTGATTAACCTTGTAGTAGGTTTTTTTTTTTTTTTATTTTAAACTTCAATATATAAACAATACATAAATAATTTATTTACTTAGTAAAGAGTAAACAAATAATTATCATTTATAATACTTAACCCTGGTAAATTGTTTGTTGTTTTGACTTTCTGCAAATTTACTTACCAAAGAATATATGAGGAAAACATGTAACACAGTGAAATTGAAAATCATTCATCATGAAAAGCATTACAATTACAGTTCTGCCAAAGATTTGTGCCATATAATAAATTTCAAAACCTAAAAGACATAAGACACAATTTTTTTCTGCTTTCACATTATTAGTTATTAAAATGTTCCAGTTTATTATTGACTGATAATTACTTGTGTAGACTTTACATAAAATAGTATTTAGTAGCCAATGCTTAGTGACAGTGGCTTGTAGCATATGTATACCATTTCTCTCCTACTTTTAGTTGAAGATGTGATACAACTGGCAAGATACTATCTATAAAAACTAGACACTAACTGAAAATGGATCCTGAGATTTGGCAACAATGATTTAATTTATATATGATAGGTCTATATGAGATACAACTGGTTTTTCTCCTGATNCAACACAAAAAAAAAACACTTGATCAATTTAAAATTTTCGAATTTAAATTCAAATCCGCCAATCAAACTTTACGTCGAATTCGATTGGTCGACATTATTAAATTTAAAATGACAACAATTTTAAAAAAGTACAAACGACGTAAAATTTATTTTAACGAATCAAATTCTTTAAGTAATAATAATTATTAATTATAACAATTATTTTTCTTAAAAGAAATCGATTATAATTTTAAATCGAGAGCGTGACACGTGAAACGGAGTAGTGTGATGTAATCGACACGCACTACACCGATAACACAAGGCGACCTGCCTTGTTTCTGCTAGTGTGGGTTTGGTCGTTCGAGGGTGAAGATGGCTGCCCGTGAATTTGACATAGTTATTTTTGGTGCTACCGGCTTTACGGGTCAATACGTGTTCGAAGAATTAGCTCGACTGTCTAAAAGCGAAAACGTCAAATTTGCCTTAGCGGCCAGAAGCGAAAACAAGTTAAAATCTGTGATCGAAAAATCAAAAGAGTATCTGCAGTCTATTGGTATGTATGGAGACAAATCTTATCAATAATATATATATATTTTTTAACCTTTATTTCTCGTGTAGACGATAAAAGATTGGCATTAAGAAGGCGCGTTATCACGATGATTCATTGCATATTATACTAGTTACGCGTAATCTCAAATATTTCTACAATGTTAAATGCTACAAATAATATATAATGCGTTAATATTTAATATGATTCGTCCAGCAGAGGTTAAATATTTAACTGAAATCCTGTACCTAGAGTTTTAAAGATTTCCTGTATTAATTCTTGCCACATTTACATAGAAATAAGTCTGTAACCCTGTATTACATTTGTTATCTAAAGTAAATTTTATATTGATTAATGAAGATGTGGATTTTTATAAATTCTGATGATAATTTTTTACTGTAATAGATCCGTATTAAAATAATATTGCGAGGACACTGTTTTGATTCCGTCGTTTACTTATTTGCGCGGTATTTAACGAAAAATACCGTAATAAATGTTAAAAGATTTAATGACGAGTTTGGCGAAGTTAAATAATTCAATTTAAGTCATTGGAGCTTTTTAATTTGCGTACTTGAATACCTTGAAGCTTCAAGGACTTTCAGTATGCAAAAGGTCTTTTAATAGGAATTGAGGAAAAAAAAAAAGCATAGTTTATATATTTATAATTGTCTTGTTGCTTAATTATATTTTTTTATAGTATTTGCTATTAAAGAACTATTTTAAAATAATGAAATTATTCACATGAATCACATTTGTCTGATTACTCAAATTTTATATTTATAAATGTATAGATGATTATACGAGGGTGGATCAAATATAAACTGGATTTATTTTATGTTTTAAAATTATTTATTAAAAAGTAAAAAAACATTATGATTTATTTTTCTACATAGCTTCCTGCTATAGAAATATATTTTTTGCAGTGAGAAGGAAGGTTTCTTATTCCAGTATCGTAGAATGAAGTTGGTTGCGTCAGGAGCCAATTGCACAAGAATTCCTCTACTCCTGATCATCTTCGAATCGCTGCCCTCCTATAGCTTCTTTAAGCGGCCCAAACAAACAAAAATCGCAGGGCAATAGGTCCGGGCTGTAGGGAGGATGATCAAGTGTAGTCCAGTGCGTTTCGTTAAGTTTTGAGACTGTTAGAGCTGCAGTACGGTGCCTGGCATTGTCATGGAGGAGAATGGCATCTCAAATTGGTTGGTTTTGTCTCTTGCACCGATATGCAGCCTTAGCTTTATCCAACAGCTCGCAATAGTAAGCAGCATTGATTGTGCTTCGAATAATGCCTCGAACCGCTCGAATGTTTTCGCTTGTGATGCTGGTCTGAGGATGGTGATCGTGTTTCTGATTTTCCACTCGTGCCTGTCCTTCCTTGAACTTTTTATGCCAGGCAAACACAAGAGTCCTTGACAGTGTTTGATCCCCAAACTGTATTGTCAATCTGCAAAAAATTTCTGTCGCGTCGACTCCTTCATGAGCAAGAAATTGTATGATTATGCGTTGCGCAACAGAGGGGTGTACCTGTTGCTCCGACGTCGTGAGCACTACTGACAATTGGTTGAAAGTATGAAACGGCCGGCATTCCCCACTCCTAATGACCCTACCCAATCAGACTAGATGCACAGGCTCTGTACTGCCAACCTTAGTTGCTCAGGAACAAAAATCCCATTTATATTTGATTCACCCTTGTATAACACGATACAACTTAATTTGCCTTTAAATTTCATTGTGCTGTTTAAAAACTCAACCGTAGTTAATTAATCATTTATTATATTATTCTAAAAAAGATTATGCTTATACTGGAAGAATCTTATATATTTAAGTAAAATATTTCAAAATTATTTGTTTGACAAGCTTAAAAAAATTTGTTATATACCTGTTTTGTTGTTATTTTCAACTTGGTTTAATCTGTCCTTGAAATCTTTTTCCGGCTTATGTAATGAAGTCTTTGTAAGTTTTTTTGAAGGAAGAAAATACATTTGTGATGATTTATATTAATTTGTAGAAATTGTTTTCTAAATTGTTATTATTATTTTTTTTTAATGAGTCCTTTGAATTAAATTAAATGCGAGACTGCCTTCTTCCAGAATTCAAACATCTCATTAACTTATGAATAATATAAGTCAAAAGAATAATGTAATCATTTAACATATCAGTTTATAATAATAAAAGAATAAAACTGATAAGAAAGTACTGTATTGCATTATTGTGATAAAGAGTAAGAAATTACATCTTTAATTATAAACTTTTATTCTTTCAGGTGAACCAATAGATGCAGATATACCTATTATCATTGCTGATATTAGTGATGAAAATTCACTGTTAGAAATGTGTAAGAAGACCAAAGTACTTTTAAATTGTGTAGGACCAGTAAGTTTTAATCATGAGAAATTAATTAGTATAGTTTAGAATAGCCTGGCAGAAAAGTTTGGTCCATAGACTTTATCATCCTCTGCTTACCACGCAGAAACATTACCAGTTAAGGAGTCTTAGTATCATTACTGGAAAGCATCTATGTGGTAAGCATAGGATGTGGATTTGAGTCCTACTCTGGGCCTGTAAATTTGTTTTAACAAACTTGAGTGTGTTTATTATTTAATTAATAATTTGAAATACAAATCTATTTATATTGATTAACCTTGTAGGTTTTTTTTTTTATTTTAAACTTCAATATATAAACAATACATAAATAATTTATTTACTTAGTAAAGAGTAAACAAATAATTATCAATTATAATACTTAATCCTGATAAATTGTTTATTTTGACTTTCTGTGAATTTACTTACCAAAGAAGATTTGAGGAAGACATGTAACGCAGTGAAATCAAAAGTCGTTCTATTGAAATAATAACTATGGATAATTTTAGAGATGTGATGCATCAGTAACATTTATATTTCCGAAATCTCTGTGCTACATCATTCTTCCAGTTCTGTTTATTATTAAGCTGTATATGATAATTTACAATCGGTTCTGCCAAAGATTTGTGCCATATAATAAATTTCAAAACCTAAAAGACATAAGACACAATTTTTCTGCTTTCACATTATTAGTTATTAAAATGTTCCAGTTTATTATTGGCTGATAATTACTTGTGTAGACTTTACATAAAATAGTATTTAGTAGCCAATGCATAGTGATAGTGACTTGTAGCATATGTGTACCCTTTCTCTTCTGCTTTTAGTTGTATCAAATCTTCAACTGGCAAAATACTATCCATAAAAACTAGACACTAACTGAAAATGGATCCTGAGATTTGGCAACTATGATTTAGATTTATATATGATAGGTCTATATGAGATACAACTGGTTTTTCTCTTGATTACCAAGTGCTCTAATATATAGCTTTATTTGTTGATATGTTCTGAAAAACATCATATTTTATCTGTAAAATAAGATAAAAAATTTCTCTTAAAAATACAAAAGATTTACAAGTACTATTGTTTCCATAAATCACATTCTCCCAAGGATTATATACAATCTAAACAATAATAATGACCATACAAACAAATTTGGGTCTATTTAAATCTTTATCCTTTTTAAAAATTCCAGCCAGAGAGAGATGGTTAACAACTTGAAGATAAAAAAAAATGCAGTCTTAAAAATAACTGATGATATGACACATACTTAATACATTTGATGCTGACCTTTTCTTGTAGGATCCAATGCCAACAACAAACAGTACTAAAAGTTTTCACAATATCATACAGGTCATTGTTGCATTTAAACACCCCTCTGAAGACCTCTGGTGAAAATTTGGGAATTCAACAATATTTACATAATCACATAAATATAGAAAGTTCCATTTGTACTGTACATCACATGTATAATGTAATAAAAATTTTTATTTGTATTTGATATGTAATTCTACAAAAGATCCAATCAAATGCTAATTTTAAAATACCTACGTAATAATTAAAAGTTTGAATTTATTGAACATGTTTTTATATTTTGTATTAATTAAATTAGGAAATAAAATTTTTAAAGAAATAAATCAAATTTTAGAATATATTTAATATGATAGATGTAGATTTAATTTTAAAATTAATTTGACATTATACTTAGTACGATCCAAAAGTTTGGGAACTTGGCTTAAAATTCTTTACCTTAAAAAGTTTATATTGCCGATGCACAACCACCTTCAAAGTAATCACCTTGGGCAACAATACACTTTTGCCAGTGCTCGTATAACTTACGGGAGGGTTCAAAAAATGGCTTCCACTTTTTGAAACCTCCCATAAGGCCTCCTGCGATGCTGCTCTCACCTCATCTGATGACACAAAATGGCGTCCCTGTAAATGCTTTTTCATTGATGGAAACAAATAAAAATCACATGGAGCTAAGTCTGGTGAATAGGCGGGATGTGGAAGCACATTAATTTGAGTTTTGGCGAGAAACTGTGTGATCATTTGGGACCGATGTGCAGGTGCATTGTCATGCAGAAGGTACCAATCTCCACTTTGCCAGATCTGTGGCCGTTTATGACGAATGGATTCCCTCAAACAACATAAAATGTCTAAATAATGCTCCTTGTTTACTGTTCTGTCTTCGGGAATAAATTCTGAATGAACACTTCCTTGAGAATCAAAAAACACTTCCATCATGACTTTCCCTTTGCTTGGTGCATGTTAAGATCTTCCGTTAAAATACACTGGCAACTAGTCTTTGATAAGTGAGTAGCCGCAGTGATTTTTTCAAGGGTTTGGCGACGATCTTTGTGAACACATTGAGAGACCAACTCAACATTTTTCTTGTTCCGTGAAGTCGAAGGTCAGCCAGAGCGTTCATCATCTGCGATGGATTCGCAGCCCTCTTTAAAACGAAACCAACCTGAACACATAGGAATGGTTTGATAGAATCAATTTCATACGCTGTAACTTCAAATACATGCTTTTGTTGTCATACATTACTGCAGTCCCCGAACTTTTGGATCGTACCACATAGATTATTGTGATAATATCAGTTAAAATTTTATATAAACAAAATCTTTCTCTTATGAAATTTAGTACAATTTATTTGGAGAGAGAGTTGTTAAAGCATGCCTTGCTGCTGAAACTCATCATTTAGACGTTAGTGGAGAACCACAGGTAAACATAATGTTATGAATTAATAATTAATTTGTTTTTATGGAAATGGTTTATTAATCACTAGTGCTTTTAGTTTCTTGAAGGGATGCAATTGAAATATCATGAAGAAGCAATTCAAAAAGGAATTTATATAATTGGAGCATGTGGATTTGACAGCATTCCTTGTGATTTGGGAGTATCTCTAGTTAAAAAAAAGTTTCAAGGTATAGACATATTATTTGAATGAACATAATTTTGTCTACATCATTTTGTATATAAAAATATAACAATTACATATTAATGTTATTTTATAAATGTGCATTTATGAAAATAAAATCCATCATTTTGATGATCAATTTCATGCCAATAACCATTCTGGGCAATAACATTTATTGATAGTTAAGATGTTAAATTTACAATATTATTTAAAGTATCTAATCATTAGATTTATCAGGCTATATTTAGGTTAATATCAAATGAATTTAACTAAATTAAATTTGGCATAAGGATAGATCATCTTGTATTCATATTAATAATTAAAAATTACGTTACATTAAATCAATCATTTTTTACAATTCTGAAAGAAAAGATTGGTCCAGAGTGTGGCATGAATCCTCATTTTCTGTATACCTTGAGGATGTATTAACAACTAAGCTACTCAAACATCTGTCGAGTCTTTTAAATTATTTAATAAAATTGATATTAAGACAAGATGGAAGTCTAAACATCCATCTTTGGGACAAATTAGTTATATTGATTTAATATTAGCTTAAATATATCAGTTGTATTTATAAATTTGAACACTCAATTTACTACTATATTTCAATTACTTAAATGTAATAGTTATTACTAAATTTAATCAGTGAATTAAAAGAAAAATATTGTTACATACTAAGCCAGTGATGCCCACACTAGGCTAAATCCATCCTGCCTTAAACCAGGCAACTTAATTTGGCCCATAAACATATTTAGTACATCAATTATAAATGGTGAAAATAGACTTACTTTTTGTATGTATGGAATATAAAAAATATTTCTCACCAATTGAAAAGTTTGGGCATCACTGTACTAAACAATCTAACACAGGAAAAAAATAATATATAAAATGTATCTATTTCAGGTGATCTCAATTCCGTAGAAACATATCTTGAATTTAATAGTGGACCACAGGTGCTTATGATTTGTGTTTTTATATGTTGTTAATAAATTTAATTATCTCAAACTCTGATATATACAGTCAACTGGCCTTAAATGAACACCGATAAATTAAATTCTCACGTTAAAGCAAATTTTGTTATTTCCCTGGCAAAATACCAGTTTCATAATGTTAATGTTCATGCAGTAAAGCAAACAAATATTTTACCAGAATTAGTTAAACTGAACTGTCAATTAACCACTCTGATATACTGCTCTATACTTAAATGGAAAATACTGTCTCTTCCTCATTTTATTTGATTTGAAAATCATTTAGATTATTAATATATTTTTGTAAATAAATTTTATTTTATTTAATTTCATTTAGTAAATTAATTCAAAATATTGTAATTTAGAGATTGATTGTAACTCCCTAAATTATATAATCTCAAATGCAAAAAATCATTAATATGAATTTTCAATAAAGCAAACTAAGTATTTTATTAAATTGTAATTCTGCCAGCCCTTTTTACAAAGTAAAAATTACATTACAGATGGATACTAGTCCTGTCTTCATTCCTTGCTATGTCTAATCACCTTGCACATGTCCATTCACTTTGTGCAGAGGCATAACCTCTAAAGAAAGGTTGTCTCTGCAATGGAAAATAGTTGTTCCTGGTGATTGCACATGGCAAGCAATGATGATAGGACTAGTATCTATCTGTAATATAATTTTTACTTTATCAAACTAAGTACTGTTTTCCTAGCAATTCTTATTAATGTGAGCTGACTGTATAGCTATACAATGTTAACTTTATCATGTTTTTAATAAATCATAATATGAGAATAAATGTAGATATTTTGATAGAATATTTTAAAATTTCAGGGTGAAACCATTAACACAGGCACATGGAATTCTATAGTTTATGGAATAACGTCTATGAATAAGACTAAAGAAATTAGGAAAGAATTAAATAAGACTGTTTTTAAGAAAAGACCAAACTTTTCACATCCTTTGTCAAAAAGGTATGATGTTAACTTGTAAAAATTAATTATCGTATATTTCCGCAGATAAGACGAGGTATAAATTTTCGTCAAAGTTTTATTGTTTTAGCATATATCTATCCTATAAGACGACCCCAAACTATCAACAGCCTATGAATTTAGTTCAGATTAGCGATCATCATCTGAATAATAATACTGTATAGCGTATACAGAATTATGTCCTATTCATAATTTTTCGAACAAACAAATTTTATTTTCTTGCATTCAATGATTTTTAAGAACTTTTTTTTCCTTTTTTCCAATGAACAATGCAGATCTACAAAGGGATGCATGGTGTGACAACCATATAAAAGTTCAAATCCTCATAACTTTTCATTTGTGCATCTTTCAGAAAGCTTTTTCAGGCAAAAGTTTTGTTTTTGATGTAGAATCATAATATGGAGTATAAAAAAAACTGGGGTTTCCATTTAAGAAAGTGAAGTTGACCCTGTTTGATCCAATTGCAGCTCCCTTATGATGAAACTCATAGCCACATTTTGTGGCTATGAGTTTCACAATGATTTTTTTTTTCTATAGAATGTATGTTTTTTATTTCAATGAATTGATTAAAATGGACACTATGAACACTTGCTTTTGTATACAAAGAGAAAATGGTTTGACACCTCTGCATAACTGCCTTTGACAATTTTTATTTTAAATTTAGGATATTTTTAAAACTTAAGGGGTAAAGTTTGCAGTTAAGGTTTCTCTGGGGTATTTTTATATTTTAATCAGTCTTATTTATTATTACAATTGTTTTTATTAGTTTTCTAGCATAATTTATAAAAAATAAGGATGTAGTGAGATATAAAAAAGTTATACGCTAGTAGCTAGCTGAACATTTTGTATTAATTTAAAAATTAAAATTTATTAAATTTTTTTACCAAGAATATATTTTAATTTAACACACAAAATTAAAAATTTTTATTGCGACTGTTTGGAAGGTATTTGTTAAATTTGTTAAATTTACTAAAGCTGTATGTTTCTCAATCACAACACAAAAGTTCACACTAACACTAAAGATATAACCTTTAATTTCACTAACCATACAAAAGTGGCACCTTGATCGATATCCTTCATCTTGTTTTGTTTTTGGTGAGTTAATCATACACCAGCAATCTGAAGACTATTAAAATGTACTGTCACACCATACAATAAAATTGAAATTACACATAAATGTATAAATGACTTTACAAAAGCTTTATTATTTGGCAGCTATCATACATTAAAATCTTAATAGTAAATGTGTGTATTTTATTGTATTTCATTTGCAAGAAAAGTCTAATAATAATAGTTATAAACTGAACTGTCTGAACCGAAGTTCTTATCACCCTTGGTACCTGGAAATACTAAATATACCTTCCGTACAACCATACATAATGAAGCCGATCAACTTCAATGTTAAAAGACTGATAGCACAGTTACGATTGAATAAATACTCTATTTATACTAATAATACTTATATTAATCTCTCAAGTAATCAATGTCCATGGTGCAAAGCTAAAGACCTTTCAATGGAAAATCTACTTTTAAAATGTCATAATCTATCAAATATACGTGAATTCTGCAAGATAATTCCTTTCATAATTATAAAATCAAACTAAACAATATGAATAAATTAGAACTCTATAAAATATATAATTATGTTACCAAATGTATTAAAAAATTGGAATACTAAAATTACTAAGTAATCTTGAAATAACAATCAACTAGAACATCGCTGCATAACTATAATAAAATGTGAAAAATAACTTGTCATTATACTTTAAAATGTCAAATATAATAATAAGTAGACTATTATAAACAAATATTCACAGTGGATATTCTAGTAACAAATATAATAATATGTAATATCTCTTTACCAAAGTATAAAAATGTTAACTAATTAGACTTATTAAATTATTGATAAATTAGAAAAAAAAAATATTTACTATATATACTGTTGTATCATTATTACTATTAATACTAAAAGTGAATTGTAATTTAATTCATTGTTAAAATATATCAAAGTAAAACTAAAATGTAATTAATTATA